TATAAATAAATATTTGTAGAAAGGATAGGAAAAAGTAAGGAAGTGAAAAAAAAAGTATATAGAAAAGGAAAAGAGAAAAAAGAAGAAAGGGAAAGAGAAAAAGAAAAAAAGTAAACAACTTAAAAGTTTTCTAAAAAAGAAATTTTCAAGCACAGAAAGGGAGAGTGGGAAAGAGTTTTTAAAAAAAATTTTATTTTATTTTATTTTTTTTGGATTTCCCCCATAAGTAAATATCATTTCTTTATTTGATATTGTATATAATAAAGTATACATTATGAAAAAAACAACATCTCTTTCATTATTTCAGAAAAGTTAAATGCTAGCTTGCCTACTTAGTTATTATCTAATTAATATTGTAAAACAATTCAAAAGCAATATTATAGTGCTAGATAAAACTGAGTAGTGGCTATACCTACCAACTCAGAAAATTTTGTAAATTCTTTTGATTTTTTGGATATACTGTATAATAGTTGAAGAGAAAATAAATGTAAATATAATTAAAACTGCATCAAATAAACTATAAAATCTATAAGTAGAAAACTAATTATTTTCTCAAGAAAGCCTCCAAACAGGCTTGTGATTCCATCTCTCCAGCTTTTTGGTTACCATAGATAATAAAGTATATATGAAGTTATTTGTTATTATAATTGTTAGTAAGCATGTGACTGATGTCATTGTTGTAATTATTGTTGCAGGTTCAGTTTTTGTTTTGATTTTTGAGTGAAATCTGATTGGATGATTGAAAAGTGCTGATAATCTGTAAGGGATAAGCTGATTTTAGTTTTTTGGCCAGAAAAAAATATTGAGAAATTTGAAATGATGCAGTAAATATTGCCATGGTAAAGTAAAATTTGTGAGTTGACTTGAAACAAACAGTAGACTCACTAACTCTGTTTAAGTGTGTATTTTGGAAAGTATTTATTATAGCAAGTATGATGATAGTAATATGGATAGTTTTTATGTTAAAATAAGAGTAAGAAGGGATGCAAGAAAACAAAAGAATAGAAAACTGCTACAGGCCTTTTCTCATATAACCAAAGGATAAGCAAGACTCTCAAACTTGAATAGACTTTGACCAGATGTCTCATCCCATTACACCAGTTGTATTGAAGGTTCTTAAGTTCCTGAGTTGAAGCTCATTTGTGATAAAGAGTGTAAAATTATCATAAAAGGAAATTTTTTAACAAAACGAATATAATCAGGAGAAAGTTTAAAAAAAAATTTTTTTTTTAATATACACTATATATATAATATATATATCAAATTTGGTTTTATATAAAAATAATATTAATTTTAATATTATTTATATTAAATATTATCAAAAGAATTTTGAAAAAATAAATTATAATTTTTTTAAATTAATATATTATTTTTATTATAATTTTAGACTTGCAATTACAATATTTATAATTAATAGTATAATATATATCACTTTTTGTTAGGAAGAGTTTAATACAAGACTCACAATTGTAATTTACTTACTTAAACTTCTTAGTATTATTTAAAAATATAAAAAAAAAATTTTATATTTATATTATACCTTAACTGGTACTGTGAGAGGAAGAATCAAATGATAATAATACAATTTAGAGTCATATGACTGATAATTAACTTGGGATCGTAAGAAGAAAAAAAAGGTAAAATAGATCTGAAACTGATACTTGTGATGAAATAATAATAATGTAATTAATATTATATTAGATAATAGTGTTAGAAAATAATAGAAATTCCTTTACCTTTCATTTTGTTTTTAAATTGTTCTTAAAGTTTCTTTATAAAAAAGTATAAAATATTAGCATTTATTTTAAAGAATGAAAAGAATATAGATAGTGATGATTAAAGTAATTTAATAAAGAGAAGTTACTTACCTCAGTTAAATAAAACACTTTATTAAAATCATCTTATACTTACAGTATTTAGTTACCTAAAAAATTAAATTATCTAATTATATAAAAACATTATAACTATTATATACAAATTAGTCTCCAAGTTATAATTAAAATTGATATACTTATTTTTCAAATGTAACTTGATATACAGTAGGAAACAAAAAAAACTGTCTAATTTTATATATGATTAAAATTAATATAACATGTTCTTATACTAATTTGGTAATAACCTTATTTTATTTTATAATAATAAGTATCTAAGTTTTTTTTTCACAACTATATACATTCCAGTATGTTTCAGTTTACTGTTGAAACATATTGATAAAATATCAGCTTCTAGAAAAAAAAGTCAACACAAAGTTTTTTTGTATTATTGAAATGAAGAAGTGCACAATGCCCAAGAATTACATTTGATGACGAATATTACCATCAGAACAATATGTGACAACATCAAAAAATTAGAAAAAACAGATATAAAAAAACAACAGGTAACTAAAGAGGCTTACTAAACTGCAATGTGAGCAATAAGTCAGTATATTCATAATAACACTTTGATTTCAACAAAAGCTATAGCTATAAAACTAATGGAGAAAGGAGTCAAGGTTTCTTATAAGACAATTCAGTGGCATTTGATGAATGCTGAATATAAAAATAGTCTTCCTAGAAAGACTTCAATACTCACTAAGGCTTATAAGCAAGCATGTATTGAATGGGGACTCAAACATGCCAATAATGATTGGAAAAAAATATTTTTTTCAAATGAAACAGCTTTTTAGCTTTTCCATACTATAATAAAACATTGGTACAAGAATCAAAAACCTATTTGTTCTATTCCAAAAGATTATAAAAAAATTATAGTATGGAGTGGATTTTTTGGAGAAAAAAATCAAAATTATATTGTTTCCAAGAAATGATAAATATTAATTTTTATATTAATATTCTTTGTAAACACATATTCGAGATAAAGAAAAGACTTGATATTTGTTGGCAGTGACAACAGGACAACAATCCAAAGTATATAAGCTATCTTGTCAAGAATTTTCTTCAAAAAAGTATACTGGAAGTTATAAACTGGCTATTCAACAGTTCCAACTTAAATTCTATAGAAAACCTATGGGTCTTGGTTAAAAGAAATGTAAAAAAGCATATGTCAAAAAATTTGAGTAAGTTAAAAAATTATATGATTGAAGAATAGGAAAAAATTTCCAACCTACTTTTAAAAAATTTGGTAATGTTAATAGAATAGATGTGTCAGAAGATAATTGTAAAAAATAGCAAATATATATCATAATGATTTTTTTAGTAATAATAAAATAAGACTTAACATATCTATATTATAAATTATATAATGTTTTGTATAGTTGTTCACTTATCACATGATTTGTAAAAACAGTTTTTTTTGTTCCCTACTATATAACAAGTAAGGCAAGTATTGAATTCAAATTATATTAAATTTAAACTATATTAAAATAAAGCAAGTCTTTTACTATTTGTATCTAATATTGATTTTTCATTTAAATCCATCACTAGGACTAAAGATTGAAAGATGACAATTATCTTTATCATCAAAACAATTTTTTAATTTTTTATTATTTTTATCTAGTATAGATTCTCTTTTGAAATTTATTATTAGAATTGTAGATTAAAAAGTAACAATTAATACTTATTGTTAATATAGTTTTAAAAGATGTATTTTGATTTTAAGTAAGCTAAAACTAGTAATTGTAAAAAAGATTTGAATATAAAGTAATAATTTGTTAAAAAGAATATTGAATATAAAGTGAAGTTGAAATTTTTTAAAAGTGCTAATATTTAACCTTATATAATAAATCTATATTATTAGAAAAGTAAGCAAGAAACTTTTGTTGTTATTATCAGCTCATATTACAAAGTAATTAGAATCATTAATTTTTATATACTGTATTATTCTATTAAATTCTTCAATTATTAATATAACATTTGTAACTAATCTAATTTATTGTTAGTTGTATTAATATTGATTGCTATTTCATTCTGAATATTATGAAATATAACTTTTTGAATAATAATAGTTGTATATCAATTTTTAGATATATTTAATCTTACTATTATCAAGTAAACAATACTAAATTTGATAATGATAATTATATTAATCTTTTGAAAAAATAAATCATTTGTTTTGTTTTTTTTATAAGATTATAAAAGAAAAAAAATTTCTAAAGCTTATATCTTAAGAGAAGTTATTAATTCTTGATATGATTTTTAAGGAAAGAGAATTAACTGGTCAAAAGAATAATGTTATAAAAAGTGAAGTTTATAAAAGAGAGAGAGGTCTAGAAAGAAAAATCCAATTTTGACAAGAAAAAAAAAAAGAAAAAAATTTTTTAAAAAGAAAATTTTTAAGCATAGAAGAGAGAATGGAAAAGAGTTTTTTTTTTCTTTTAAATTGATATTTAAATTTTAGAAAAATTTATCTTTATATTAAAAAACAAAAACAAATAAATTTTAATTGGTTTATATAGAATATAAAATATAATGTTTGAAATTTAATAATTTGAGTAAAATTAAATTAATAATTATTTGATTAACTTATTTAAATTCATTTAATCAAAATCAAAATAATTGTAATAATAATCTTTAATCAAATCTTTTTTGTTATTATCAATTACTAAAAAAAAAATTGGCAATTAATTTTTACTTTGATCTATAAATAGTAATTTGTTTTATTTTTTGTATTACTTTTGCATAATATATCAAATGATATAAAATTTTAATATGCAATATCTTGAGAGTTTTTCTATTTTGTATATATGCTGTGTATTTAATTTAGAATCAACTTGAATAATAAAATGGATATAAATAAACGGTTCTAATGTTATAAAAAACTTGTTCTATTATTTACTAAGTTATAAAAAAAATATTAATTGTCAATATTTATGTAATATAAAACTACGAAAAAAATCATTATTTTAGAATTCATAAATAATAATAATTAGAGAAACTACAGATCATTGAATAGCAAGAATTCTCTTAGCTTACTGAAATATAAAAAAACAGTATAGCAAAAAATCTCGATCGTTGTGTACAAAATTAACATCGAACAACTCCTACAACTTGTGTATCAGCATTTGATCATTCGTAACGCACGCCCATACTCTCCTTAGGTGTGAAGCCCATTTTTCTCAGTTTTTCAGCTTGAACTCGTTCTTCAAACACACGTTTGATCTCAATTACTTGATCTTTAGTCAATAATGAATCAGTCACAGGAGGTACGCGAGTCTGTTGACGATGCTGTTTCCTGCATTATATAGATATAATAACGTTAACAATCAAAAGGTTTAACGTGATAATAGTAAATATTAGAAAGATACCGAAGTTCCTCTTCATCTTTCTTTAAATCGACTAAAGCGTCCGTTTCATCATCCATGAGTCGTGCCAAATTACGTTTATCTCTTTTCTGTCGAAAATATTTTTCAACATCATAGTATCTACATGAGTAAATGAATGTGAATTAATAAATGTGAATCAATAGTCATTTATGATATTATTATTATTATCATAAGATACTTTATGTGCGGAAAAGTTGCCGTATTATAGTCTAAAGGAAAAGAAGAGTTAATAATGTTGTTCAGGATAAAGAAGGTCGAGTGAGTTCGATATGAATCTACCTTCTACAAAATGTTTGAAATGTTCTTTCATCATAAAGGGGCTTACTTCTTCAACGTTAAGATGTTTTACTTCCAACAACCATAAATTGAATTCCTAAATAGTAATTTATTTATTCGCTCCTGTTTTACTATTATTATTATTATTGGAGAAGAACCTACCTCTTCTTTTAGATGCATGCTATGGGATTTGATACAATCAAAAATTAGTAAAACAGCCCATTAATTTGAAAAAAATGAATTTGTAGATTAAGAAAAGTTACTCTTTTTCGCTGATTATCCCATATTTTCCCCATTGATTCCTTGATGATTTTGTTTTTTTCTCTTTTTTCTTTTTCTAGAGTTTAAATTACGTAAATATAATTGTTCATATATCTCAAATTTCTTATTATTAATATACGCACGACACCTTCTTATCTTTCTTCTTTTTTTCACTCTTTTCGTTCCTCCGTTTTTTATGTTTCTTTTTCCTATGCCTGCTTGACGATGATTCTGACGATTCGGTATCGTCGGATTCGGTGTGTGATCGTTTACGACTCTTGTGTTTACGTCGTTTTCTCGAAAGATCACGTTCAGAAGAAGTAGAACTACTTCTGCTTCTGTAAGTTCGAGTTCTATAAAATTATGCGAACGATTTATAATGTACTATTATGCCAGTTATTTATGCATTAATAAGCAGACACCATAAGGCAGTAGCGATATAGAAATATAAGCAAGTAATATTCGAACCTTTCTTCCTTGTCGCTCGGTCTTTCTCGTGAACGGCCTCTCCGAGTGGGAGAGGAGGAGCTAGAATCGGCGTGCTTGTAACTTCTTGAATCGTGTTCAAGATCTCGGGTACGAAGTTCTCCTAAATCAGCTTTCCTCTGCCTATCCTTGGAATCACAACGTGTCAGTTCTTTTCGATCATGCGAACGTGAACGTTGTCTACCACTTCTTGACCGTTGCATGTCAGAATTTTAGCGCGAGGTGGTGAAAATCAGTAATCTAATAAATTCGTTTCCATTTAGATAAAAACTTGTCAATCTCATGTAACCGAAAAACCATCCACTTACAACAGTTGTGATACATTCATGGTGACTGGTTTACATCATATTTTCTTAATTATGGTTATCTTTTTTACTTGAAAAAATATTTGATTGTAAATTACAATCGAGTATTTTAAGATCAAATTCTATCTATCAACACTACTCCTAAACATACACTCATTGCTACCAAATGAAAGTCGAATCTTCTGTCAAGACCCGTTGTAGAAGGCGCCAAGGAGTAGTCTCGCGTACACTACACAATACTAATCAAGATTCAACGTCTGCCTTGGTAACAACTGAAACGATGCCAATGCAAAAAACCAATACCGTAGTGATAACAAACTCGGCGTCCGGGTCAAAAACTGATATCTTTTCCCTTCCCTCTGAACTGATTACTAGGATTGCATTTCATTTGACTTTACCAGAATATTCATATCTTTCGCGTACTTGTAAAACAATGAACGCACATTTTCAAAGGGAACTTATTTTATTCCTTCGACATGTATATGGTCGTTCGGTGCGTTCCGGTTCACTAATTCTTTTCGCTTATGGAGCACACCTACAATATCGGGCTCCAAGGTTACTTGATCGCATCATGGACGAATTTTTTATCGATGCGAATGATAATCCGGGAAATTCTAATTCTAAAAACATAAACATATCTCGTCAAGCAAACTCGCGGTGGCCTACATACTGGTCTGTTTTGTACTCGCTTGATAAGGCACCAAACTTGGATCCTCCTCCAAATTGCATTACCTCTGTGACATGCAGTTCTGATGACAAATTAGAAACCTGCTATCTTCAATCACATCAGAACACGTCCTGTTATGAGTGCACGGCATCACAATTTCATGCTTCTGAACAATCATCCAACCCAAAACCAAAACTGCAATTCCTCGAAAAATATGCGGCAAGAATGAATGCCAAGTTTGCAAATCGTCCTATTAGAGGAAATGACAAATCCTCTAGTTCTCATAGTAATGGACGTCGAAATGAATGGCACCTTTCCGATGTGCGGCAGAAAAAAACTTATAGGATGTTGATAATGCAAAATATCCGCTATGGTGACACTGACCTTTTAAGATTCTATTTGGAAAATTATGGTGCACCTATTAATGGCGTTGTCAGATTCACACCTGAGGTTAGTTTCTTTTCATCACTTGTTAACATGCGACATTATATTTGATTAATGATAAGCCATTATTCTAGGAACAAGTTGGCCTCATGCAAGATCGAGGGTTGGTGGATTTGCTGGAGAAATATGGCATACATGTCGTCGTGACGGAGTAATCATTAGTGTCAATTGAAAAAAAAAAGGATGCGAAAGGCAAAGGATCTTAGAAATTATTGATTATCAGAAAATGAATGCATGTATTTATCCACATATCTGGTTTTCCCATTTTCATGGTAATCTTATGGTGTATCGTTTTCTAAATTTCTAATGTTATGTATCTTGATTCAAATTATAATTTCTAAAAAAAAAACAAAAAAAAAAAAAAAAAAAAGAAAAAATGTAAGAAAAAATCGCGAGTTTCCTTTTTTTTTTTTGGACCTCTACAAGAGAGATTATAGAAAAACTTCGATATAGGAGTTTTTGTTTATGTACTAATGTACGAATATTTGATATACGGAGTTTTTTACTGTTAGAAAAGACTTTTTTCGAAATTTAAAATTTCGCTTCGGAAAGGCAGTTAAATTTCGGGAAATTTTAGAATCGAATTTTTATTACTATTTCAGTATTACACCTTGTATGTAGGTTAGTAGGCTCAAAAATTTAATATAATAATGAAAGTCAGTTGTGAATTGTCATCATGTTTGGACTGCCATTTTTTAATTTTCGTGGAACCAATAAAGATTCATTATTTTCTGTTGTGATATAAATCTAACTATTAAAATTTTGTAGGTCTTGCTAAAGTAGATTCGTGCGTATGAATTACCGTTTGGAACGGACTTACAAGAGATCAGGTTTCCTTGGTCCTCGACCTTTTTTTCTTAGATTTATTGACCGTATCTTTGACGTCCGATGATTTAGGTGGTGACTCCGTAGGTGATTTCTCTGACTTTGCCTTTCTCTTACGTGCTGACTTCTTAACCAATAGAAGAACATTTTATGAAATGTGAATTTCATTAATTTAAATAACTCGTGGTATAAAATAAATAATACTAACCGAATTTTCTGACGCGCGAGAACTGTCGTTACTCTTTTCCACTAGTACTTGAGCACTCGGCACAATGGCAGAGGTTCTGCCACCCACGGTTTGAAATATAATCTGCTCACCATCAGGCATAAACGTGCCATCTTTATTCCCTTTGCCCCATCTATAATGGAACAACCATGAATTCGGAAATGAGCTCGCTTCCGCATTAGCATCTACAGCAGTCTGACATACATAGACTATCTTCTCGTGCAACGCGCTAATCTGTTCACTGCTAAGCGTATTTGTATATTGGCTAGGATGTATTTTTGATTGATATAATACTTCATCGGCGATCCAGTTCCCGATGCCCGCAGAAAAAGATTGATCTAATAATAACGCTTTAATAGGACAACGACGTTTCAAGATCAATTTACCAAAATCTTCTAATTTGAGCATATTATTCAATGGATCAAACCCAAGTTTAGAGATTGGCGGATCTGTTAAAGCCGAATCAACTAGGCGCACTCTTGCCAATCTACGTTCATCAGTAAACGCCATAGTCGTACTAGGAGATGATTTGTCGTTGACATCTTCAAGTGTAATTACTAACTTCCAGAAACGTGGAGGCCATTCTTCTGAGTCATTCTTGGATTTTTTTCTGCGGTATGAAAATGCATCTTGATCTTTAAACTTCAAACATTGCAAATTTAATTTTCAGTTAGTGAAGATATTGAGTGGTGATCCCGCATTGTTGCGTACATTGTATACATACGCGAATGTCGCCGGCCATACCAAAATGGAAAACAGGATGTGGCTTCTCATTAAGAACTGATTTTCAGCAGCGAGAAATGGGCGATTAATCATATCCATCTATCGGTAATTGTCAGATATATATGCATAACCTACTAAAGTAAAAATATTTTCCCCATCGACCGGTATCTACCACAATTTTGTTCAATATACTTGTTTCAAATTCTTTATTAGTGATGCCACAGAATACTAAGTTATCTTGTTGCTAAAAGAAGTAGGACAATAGAAGTTATTGTTCGTGTCTAAAGGGTAAGGTACCAGAGTTGACCTACGGTTTCGACTTTTGTAATTCTTTTTCTAATCATATTATGATTACATGCTCGTTCGGCACGGTGAACCTCAGGAAGTTCTGGCATTGCAATTACTAACGCGTTTTTATTAAGCTAAATAGAATTTACACATTTAGTAAATTTATTGAACTATCGATCACTACTGTTACACGGTTAATCCAATTTAATAAAGTTATAAATTTTGCGTTTTTCCTTCATTTCCTTCATCTCCTTCATCTCGAATAGTATTTTTATTGGGCGATATGTATAGTGGAAGCAATGCAGAAAATTTTTTTAAATAACTTAAGTTCAAGTATACAGGATTAATGGTATTGAATTTTTTCTAGAAAGATTTTTCTAGACTTCTCAATTATTTCAATAAAATTTCTTATTCTATCTAATAACTTAACATCATTCAACTATATATATACAGTTTCTATATATTATCTGAATATGCTAAAAAGTGATTATATTAGCTTAGCACAACCTATATTTAATATAAAAGTTATTATATTAATATTCTATTCTTAAGAAGTCTAATAAATAATTTTTAAATCGTTTTATTTTTATTAAATTTTATACAAGTTTATATAATTTTTGTTATTATTGTTATAAATTCTTTTTCTTTTCTATTTTTTTTTAAAATATTTAATTAATCTTATTTTTTTATATTTTGCTTTTTATTTTATATTTATTTATTTAAATAATTTTATTTTATTTTATTTTTTTAATTGATCAAGGGCATTAGATGTAAAGCTTTTATTAATAATTAATATTCTACTATTACATCAAATATCTTTATATACTAGACTATTGCTATCCTAGCTATAAATTAATATTACATAGTAAATATTATTTCCAATATTACTGGTTTCCCTTATATCAACCTGACTATTCTGATTAATTAACTTATATCTTGAAGATAAGTTCATATTTAAATGAAATTTATATAAAAGAAAGAAATTTTACTATTAGTTTAAATCTATTTTCCTATTGGTTCAATTATATTTTTTGATTACCTGCTAAGAAAAAGTCATATAGGATATTATTATAAAGATTAATTCCAGTTATATCAATTATTTATTATTATTAATTCTTGAAATATACTATTAGTATAATGTAACATTACCATTTTTACCATCTATAAAATTGATATTTTGCTTAAGTTTTAATTTAATATTATATAGCTCTCACTAAATATACTTAACTTAATGATTTTTGTTTAAATTCTTATTACCTATAATTAATATCTTGCTCTTTAGTTATATAATTAAGTTTCATATAATATTACAATTAGGATAGACCTATAAGTTTTATATTGAAATATATTAGCTTAAAATTAATCTCTTTGAATTGTATAACAAAGTCTACTATTACTAATTTGAATTGAAGTTTTTGTAAACTTTTATTAAAATTAGATCAGAAATTTTTTCTTATACAATTATTTATACTTTGATTTATTTTTAGCTTGCAATAATTAAAAAAACCAAAGGTTTCATTTTTATATAGCTTAACTGAATTTGTATATAGTTAAGAATTATTTAATATAATATATACAGAATATTCAATAAACTTATATATGAAAGTAAATATATTTTTGTCTCTTGTAGATAGGGATTACAACAGTTTGGTTTGAATCAGTTTTAACCAAAACTAAAACCAATCTGATTTATTTTTTTTAATCAATCTGATCTGAAAAATGATCAGTTTTCATTTTTTGTAAATCAATTTGATCCGAAAACCAATCGGTTTTAATTTTTTATAAACCGATCTAATCTGAAACTGATCAATTTATATAAATATAATTTTATTAAATTGTTTTATTTCAATAAATATAGCTAAAAACTGTTTAATTTAATTTTTTTAAATTTATATTTACAATAGCTTACAAAAATAACCAATCACTTGAATAAATATAATTAATTATAATATTTTTTAATAAATAATTTATAAAAAAATTAAAAAAAAATAAATTCAAATATTAAATTTAAAAATATTTTAAAAAACAAATATTAAAATGTAAAATAAAATTTATTAGATATAATATTAAAATTAATTTTTTTTTTAATATTGAATTATTTCATTATCAATTATTTTATAGAATATTGACAGTATTCTAGATTAACAAGCAAGTCATAATTCAATTAAATGTTGACAATTTATGTATTATATAAAATTTCTATATATATATATGGATGTATATATACATATGAATTTATATATATACAGTATATCAAATTCCACTTTTATATTTTTTTGTTCTTTATCAGTTAAAAATTCAATATTTTTGACAAAGCAATGCTGCTTTAGAGCAGTAGTAGCAGGATATATATATATTTATTTAAATAAGCTATTTTTATTTTTCTGTAATAAAAATTACTTATATTTTATTAATACAATTACTTTAACATGTCTACTTTTACTTCTACTTCTGCTTCTATTTCTACCTATATTTCAAGTGCTACAACTGCAGTTGTGAAAAGAAATAAATTTGAGGTAATAATTTTTAAAATACTTACAAGTATGGATATTGAATGCCAAAGAGTAAGGTGAAAATTATCATTAAGTAATTGTCGAGTTATTATATATTTGAAGATAACCTGCCATTAGATTAATATAACAGCAAAAATGAGAAGCACTTCGTGGCCACAAGTAGTTATTTGGCTGGAATAGCAGTACTTGTAAATATCCTTTTTTGTTTAATTATATTAACTGAAAACTACTATATATTTTGTTTATACGACGCCATTAATTGACTTCTGGAGCTATGATAAATAAGATATATAATAAATATTTTAGAATCAGTTATTAATAATATTTATTTTGATAACAATGAAACATTTTTTTTTTTTTTTTTTTGACGGGTGGCTTACACCTTGTTTATTAGATATTATGTAATGAGTATGTACAAATTTATTTTATACAAATTTATCACTCTATCTACCTAATTAAACTTACTAAGGAGGATTCCTACCATGCGGCTTATTGCCAAGTACTGGTATATACTTGACTAATTTGCCAAGACTCTACCTGTCCCATAAAAATTTAGTTTTGAAAGAGTAGATTGTGTTCCAATTGATACAGTGGAAACTGGTGAATTTCATGATCTTATTGATTTCTGGAATAGATGATTTGTTTGGGTTCTTTCTTGTGTTTGTGGATTTCCACTGTTTTTTGTTTTTGGTAATAATGTTTTGTTCCTTTTCCCATTGTACGAATTTGTTGCATCTGTGATTCCATTTTTCTTGGGTTTCATAGAAGAATCTGTTGATGATATTTTTTATCATTTCTTTTTGGTTTTCTGTTGGAATATATTTTTTGATGGTTTTTATCATATCTGTTATAAGTGCTCCTTTTACTATGTAGTTTTTAACTTCTTGCATTCAGTATTTTGCTTCTTTGTTGAGTTCTTTATTTAAGTTACATTTGTTAAGGTTGTTGTTTTTGTTGTTTACTTCCTCGTTAATTATTTGTTGTAATTTTTTATATATGTCTGCTCTATTCCCCTCACATGTTATGCAGTGTGTGTTGGTTTCTATTTGTTGACAGTTGAGACATAAGTTATCTTTATAGATATTTGTTGCTCTTTTGTATAGTTTGTCTTTAGTCGATAGTTCTAGGTTCCAGAGTCTGATTCTGAATGATCTGATTGTGTGGTCTTTTCAGTCAGTTGGTCCTGTTGTGAGCTTTGAGGGTGCTCTGTTGATTAGCGACTCTTCCCAAGCAATGTTGTTTAATGTGAAGGTGTTGTCAGTTGTGATGAGATTGCGGTCCAAGCTTCACCTGTTGAGAATGTATTTTGTTCTAATGAGATTTTTGATTGAGGTTGTGATTGTGTTGTCTAGGGTGTTGCCATTCCATTCTTGTATCCATCGCGTTTTGTTGTTTCTGATAGGTATGCATATTATTTCAGATGTTTTCCCCAAGATTGTTGCTTCTTTCGCTAGTGAGTCTGCTCTGTCATTATGAATGTCGTTGTTGTATGCTTTGATCTTTTTCCATGTTACAATCAGTTTTTGGCTTTCTATGATATGGATTATGGAGTTGATTATATTGTTGTTTCTCAATGTTCTCAGTTTACTGGGGTTATCCTGAGCTTTGTTGATTGCTCCTAAGGCTGCTTGGCTGTTACTGTAGATTGTGATTTTACTGTTGGCAGGAGCTATTGTGAGAAAAGTGAATATTGCTGCAAGTTCTGCTCTTGTTGAGGAGGGAAATTGGTTGATTCTTTCTTAGAAGGTGATGTCTGGTTTTTGGATGATGTGCCAGCCGAAGTACATTTTTTGATTTAGGTCTAAAGATCCATCTGTATAGGCTATAATTTCTTTGAGTTTACCTATTTTGTAGCAAATTGTTACTAGTTCTTCGATTGTTTGATCTGTTGAGCTGAGGTATTTTTTTATGATTGTTTTGTTGATTGCTGTGTGGTCATTGGAAATAGTTGGTGGTGGAGGAAGGGTGGGATGTGTGAATTTGTCTTTGAGAAGGTTGCTGATACTGTCTGGTAAGATTCTGTTCTGTTGACAAAGTTTCTTAAAGGGTGAATTTCTTGCACTGGTTGTGCTTTTGTGGACTGGAATGCAGATTAAGCTGTTTTTTTCCTTGTAAAAGATGCATTTGCCTTGTTTTTCTGATGTGTTTAATATGAATCCGTTGCATTCTTGTAGGGGTGAATGGTTGTTGTTTGTTCTGATATAGTGTTATAGTTTAATTGTGTTATTGAAAATGGCTTTCTTTTTGCCTATTATGCTTGTGTTGATGTTCTGGGATGCTGTCTATTTGATTTTTTTGTTGGGTATTTCGATTGCTAATTTGTGATTGATTTTTTTTGTTTGACTTTGTGTTCTTCTATTTTCGATTATGGTTAGAATTTTTTGATTATTTTGAATCTCTTTGAACCAGTTGGGTATTTTTCTGTTGGGTTTTTTGTTTGCTATTATGATCTCTACCCATGCTGCAAGTCTTGATCCTGTATAGTTAGTAATTTGGTTAAGGAAGAGGATTTGGTTTGTCACAAGTTGTTTTCTATATTTTTTATACCATCTGGGATCTGTTATTTCCTCAATTGTTGTATCTGTTTTTTCCAT